GAGAGAGAGAGAGAGAGAGAGAGAGAGAGAGAGAGAGAGAGAGAGAGAGAGAGAATGGAAGAAATATTTGAACAAACTATTGATAATCATAATTTATGCTTTACTAGAATAGAATGGTAACATTTCACATCCCTTCAGGGCAAATGTCAATTAGGCCATGCCAATTGTGACAAAATATGTTTGATTTTAAAATTAATCTGAAATTCAATTTATTGGATTAATATTTTTCAGTTTACCATAGCACAAAAAGGTGAATATGTGATTATGCAGACTGTGCATGCAAAGTTTATTATTTTTATATCACATTTCTGCACCAATACAAAAATATATTACATAGATCTACTTTTAAAACAATCTTTGGAGAACGAAGTTTATTCCCCATGGATGCTAGATAACTGATCTGAATATAACAGATGATATCTGTGATAAGGGACAAATAAGATACAATGTTAACATCGCTTAACAAGTCCATTTCTCCAGTTTCTTTTTTTCTGGTAAGAGGATGGTACAATAGTAAAAGTTAAATGTTTTTAAACTCAAAAGCTACATTCATTATATGAAATGTGCTAGACACCAGAACTTCCTAGATGACAGTCAACATTGCACTGCACACGTTCAAAGCCAATAAAAATCTTACTGGGAAGTTTTTAATATTATGATACAAAATGTATTGACTTTTTTCAAAAAGAATATCCAAATGCAATTTAACCTAGCATCCCAATCAAGATATTAGCATACTACAAATCCTTACCTGTGAATATTTTTAAAGCGCTACATTGAAGACTTGTGAAATTACTTGTATAAACCATAATCTGTTACTGGGCAGTAAATGCAACCTGTCATTGTTCAGGACCATTTTATCAATTGTATATAATTTTGATCATTGCCAGATGCAAAAGCTTAATAGTAAATCAAACCCCTTTCAAAGATACATGCATTTAACCAGATTAATGCAGCAAGGATGATGCTAGAATAGAAGCTCCTGCCTTCTTTAAAACAAAGTTAATTTGAGTCATTTTATTAGGGTATTTTGAATTTAAATCATGAAGGCAAAGCTACCATCTTCTAGCACCAAGAGATCTGGAACAGTCACTTTGTTCCAGTGTATTTTACAATGTGCTAGGGGAGGGCACTCTAATTAGAAGTTTTTCAAAAGCTCTATTCCAGAAGTAATTGGTTTGCATCTTGGAAGGTAGAAAACCCATGATTTTAATCATTTCTTCCAGCACCTCTGCTGGAGATTTAGCCCTGCTTGTATTATTTGTTCCTTGTTAATAATGGCATTATTAAATACAGGGACATTATCAGCAAAACCCTTCAGCATTACATAATCTATTTACAGCACAGGGACAGAACTACAGAGAAGCTATCCCATTGCCTTGCTTGTTAAGTGTCGGCATAACAGTGCTGGGCTGCTAATTGCTTTTACATATTAGAAAATAAAGAACAGAGTTTCCATTTTACAAACTTTCAGCAAGTCATTTACAAGCTACATTACAGAACACATTCTTCTCCCCTTCCACAGCAGAAGTTCAATTTTGCTAGAAATGGGGAAAATTGTTCAGGGTAAAAAGTCCTAAAGAGACACCAATTATATGTATTTCTACTCTCCAAACATGTTCTTTTTTTGATAGAGGTACCTAACTAGACTGATTTACTGTGTTTTTTTTTCCTCCCTCTCCAATATTTAGCTGAAGAAGCTGGAAGATACAAAGAGTGATAGACAGGCAGCAGTGTGAGGCCACAGGAGAGACATTAGATCTCAGTCCATCCATCACTGAAGAAGAGCTTTGATTGCCTGATTGTCAGTGGCTTCAAAGGCAGTTAGTCCATCTGGCCCTTTCACAGTCTTATCAGCACCCTGTAAAAAAAAAGATAAGAACTGTCACTTTAGGAAAAACAAACTTCTTTGTTATATACCTGATTCTCCAAGTGATCAGCTGTGCAATCGGACTGCAAGCTCTTTTGGTTTCCAGAAGTTAACCAAATGCTGCTGAACAAAGGTAAAAAAACTCTTCTGCAATAATAAAATGTCTTCAGATGGGAGGGGGGGGGTGTCTTATCAGGATTGAACCTCAGTTTGTTCCTCACCATCCAGATCTGAACAGCCTCCAGGTACTCTGTTAGAACTTTGACTCCATTGCTCAGTTTGGGGTCCAGATGTATAACTGGGTATCATCGTATTAATGATATTTGAACTCAAACCAGGAGATGACTTCATCCAATGGATCCATATAGAAGTTAAGAAGAAGGGAAGAGAATACTGAAACCTTGTGTCACTGCACAAGTAAGGGACTGTGGGCATAATCTCTCCCATCTAGTCAACACCAACTGAAACTGGCCATAGAGAAAGGAAGATGACTACTACAAAATGGTTCCTCCCATGCCCACCCTCTTAAGCTGTTCTAAAAATATACCATCCTGATAGTATTAAAAGCCACTGAAAGATCAAGAAATACTACGATGGACATACCAGCTTCATCATGGTTTCTACCACAAGATCACAAATCAGAAAGAATCACTAATGGTGTCTTTGTACCAAACCATGGCCTTAAATTTAAGTGAAAAGGGTCCAAAAGATCCATTTCTTGTTATGGAGCTGGAGTCGGGCTAGACCATCCTCTCTACCAACTTGCCTAAAAAGGGGAGACTGGAGACTGCACAGAAATACTCAAGTCATCACAAATCCAACGATGACTTGAGAAGGTACACCACAGCCTGCTTCACAACCCCTTACAGTCCAAATGACACTGAAAAGAGAGACTTGATAGCATTGAAAAAAGTGATTTACAACTGGTCCTTGTATTTATGACTATTTTGGTATCCTTGTGGTCACGTGATAAAAATTCAAGAGCTTAGCAACCGGCATGCATTTACACTGGTTACAGCTATTTGCAATCTTCTCAGGCGTCTTCCAACAAGCAAAGTCAATGGAGAAAGCCAGATTTGCTTAATGACCATGAATGTATGACTGTTTAATGATGATTTGATGTTACAATGGCACTGGAAAAAATGACTTATGACCTGTCCTTGAAGTTATGACCACCACCAGGTCACATGATCACAATTTGGACATTAGACAACCAGCTCGCATTTACAAAGGTTGCAGCATCTTGCAATCATGTGATTGCAATTTGCAGTCTTTCTAGCTGGCTTCCAACAAGCAAAGTCAATTGGAAAAGCCTGATTTGCTTAATAACTGATTCATTTAATGACCATGGTAAAATGTTTCTGGAATTGGGTCAGGTCATGCAATGACCTGCTTAGTAACTGCATCACTTAGCAGTTAAAATTCTGGTACAATATTTGTAAATATATTGTTTATGGTTTAGTATATGTGAACATAGCCCAAATGTCTATCAGTAGTTCTCACCTGGTGTATTAACAACTATCAGTCTGCAATAAGTTACACAATTCAGAATGGGGAAAAAGTGAGATTTTATTTTATAAAGTTTGTCATTGTTTCTCTCTCTGTCGCTTTCTCTCTGTGTGTATCTAACAGAATATAAAACAGCAAAATAGAACAAACTGAGAAACAGTATCTGCCTTAAATGCTTGCTTCTAAATTATCTGAAAAAGAAGCCATGGTGAAAGGAACTGTTTTCTTTCCAGTAGACTGAATGAAATATTTGTACAGTTAGATGTTTAACTATTAAATCAAGGCAGATTTTTATTACAACAGAAAATGAAATCATGCCACCTTGACATATGAACAGTTTTCAGGAGCTCCCCCTTTTTTTCCTGAAAAGCAGCTTTATACGAATGGCACTCATGCTTGAAACTGAAACAGTGTAAAGTTACATTGGCCTCTCTTTATATAAAAATAAATGTATGAGTTAAAAACCTTTAAAACAGTATTTTTCAAAATGCCCTAAGTTTTTTAACACTTATATTTAATATAGTACTAGGATTGTTCCTATTTGCTTGTAGTTTTTTTAATTGACTATATCAACATGAATAACTATTCACAGCATAAATTCTACTTATACTGTTAAATTAGCCAAATAATTTTAGAACAAAATAACTACACTAAACGTTACCCTATACATACAATAGCTCAAGTCAATGACTAATAAAAGGGGATTCTAAAGACTAAATCTTGTCATTCCCAAACATTTCAGAAGCTCTGCACTTCATTAAATGCTTTCTTCTTTTCTTTCTCACCCTTCTTCTTTGGTCTATCTGATTTTCTTTCTGATATCTACTCCATATTAGGCATCCTTAAAATATCTGACATCTTGAAAAATAAAATTTACTAAGTTGGTACAATTGTCAGAATGATACTATCATGTATTCTCACCTTTGACAGAAGTAATTTCACACAGGACATATGATCTTCATAAACTGCTGAAAGAAGTGGAGTGATACTATGCTTATCTGGAGCCTATAAAAAGTAAAAAAAAAAGTAAGCTGTAAAAAAGAAACCTCAATCGATACATGCATCTCCTAATATGACTCAAGTGACAAAGTTGCAGGCTTCCCTCACGAAGAATTATGCAGATATCACATTATTGGAAGGTTACATTTTACTAAAAGGTAAATCAACGGTGAGAGTGCGAAGCAAGTAAGTAGAAATGGTCTTTACTTCTACAAAAATTTCTTCATCTACAATATTTACTTAAAATTTGGATCAGGATATTACTAGAAGAGGATTGACAAACAGGAGTTCTTCTTGCTACAAATATTATCCATCCCTATAAAAAGTCTTCAATGTGTTTTAAGACCGGCTTGGGCAAAATTATTTAAATAGGAATTTGGCAAGGGAATTTGCAATGAAAAATCAATTGACAGGGAAAGGACAAGCACCCTCTTCCCTAATATAGCTGTTTTTCTCCTGTACAGTACCTTCTCCCATATTAAAAGAGATCATCGCTAGGCCTCATCATGAAGAGGACAACTTTTTTCTCGTTTCAAACTTAAGCTTTATGAGAAGATGGAAACCCCCCCCCCAAAAAAAAACATGGCCAAAATGATAATATTTAATCAAATAGAATATAGATATCCTACAAGTGATATTTTTCAAGATAAGGACAACAAGATTTGGATGCTTATGAAAATCTTGATTAACTTCAAGTGTTCTGTTGAAGTAGTGAAGTGCTATAATCATCCAGATTAATCTGTTAGTTCCTAGTAAGTGGCAGCTAATGAAGACAGACTAGATAAGACAGACAGATAGATATAGGTGGATATTCTATTTTCTTTTAATATCCTCCAATAAATAAATGTTATACTGTACTGCAATAACAAAATTAACACTTATGTCAAGGGCAATTATATATACATCCCACTTTATGCATTTAAAACAGTTATTTGTCTTAATCTAACAGATAATTTCATCTATTATATTGCCTGAATGATTTTATTTAACATACATTAATATCAGCTCCCTTTAATAGAAGAAACTCCAGAATCTCAAGCTGTCCACAATCTGCTGCATAGTGAAGAGGTTTTCTCCCACCTTCCAATGTTCGGTTAACATCTTCACCCTTTGGAATTAAAAAAAAGGTTAATTATTCTTTGGTAAAATATCTTTTACTTCAACCAGTCGTAACATGGAGGTTAGTAGTCTGGAAGTTCAGCCATAGCAACTAGACGTTTCTTGTTGATTCAAAACATTTCACTGTTCATCTAAGTAGCTTCTTCAGTCTGAGCTAGTTGTTAGGGGGACCCCATATATGTCCTCCAGGGAAATTTCATTTCTCATCTAATTTGGATAGGCTTGTTAAATGAGTAGGCAGAAAGTTATTGAGATGTAAATGTTTCAACTTTTAAATTCTATACCCTAAGTGTGTGACCTCCCTGGTGAACCTGTGAAGTGGTCTTAACCTTTTTGGGGACTAATGAAAAAGCAGCATAAAAGATGGGGGACAGGTTGTGTCTGAAACCTTGACCTCTATTGAGGAAAGGATTTTCCACTTTGGCATAAATAAGATTCCTTCGCTCCTTTCTCAAACCATCTGTGTTCCAAAAATGTGAACATTGTTGTTCATGTACAGTAAGAAACCTCAATGCAAACAAGTGCATTTTTGCTTTCATTACATTATGCTGTGTTGAAATGAATAAAATGACTTCTTTGTTGAGCTCAGAGATTTCTGGGTAATTTATGGATGCAGAGGCTGTAAAAAGCATGTTTAACAATTTTTGCTACTCAAANGTTGCACTGCAACATAAACCAAATAAAAATTTTCATGGAATGTTCTCTGTAGGCTGTTTAGTTCCAAGCAAATGCAAAGTTCTAGTCAAAACCTGAACATATAATTTAATTGAGAGTATACTGCCAGTATAAGAATGCAAAATAATGGTTTATATCAAGAGTTGAATTAGATGAATAATAATTTCAAATAATTAGTCACAATGTAGGTTGTTTTCTATGCCTTTTACTCATCTATAAATCCATTTGCTCCAACTTCATACATATTTAGATTCAGATTCCTAATTTTCTTATCCATCTGAACATACCCTGAAGGTTTATCATTATTAGGACTTCTGAAGTACCGATGTAGTTCTCAGCCTAATATTCATGTTACGTGTTGCCACCAGAAGAGCTTTTTCATCTTATACCTGGGTAGATTTTAATTATATAGCTAGTACTGAGAAACCACACAAAGGTGTGAAACTGGTTGTTCCACCAAATAGTATTTAGTAGCATAATATCTAAAAATAAGTAGCTCTTGATAGAAATTTCTCCCTTTCTTCTTGCTGGTCTTAAAAACTAGCACGTCCACTCAAAATTGTAGTGACAAACAAAAACTACAGCAGTTGTGCATAGTCATAGCTTTTTATATAAATGCTTAACAGTAAAATAATTTATACATCTAAAGATTTTAGCATTTCCATGTAATGTGAACTCCTCTAAAAATCCTCTAATGTTAAGCAATGGCCACTTTCCAGGAACATAGCAATTCCTTACAATATACTTTTCAGTGTGCTCCTTCATTAAAGAGGACAGAACTAAGTCACTGAAGCAGTAATGCTGATTACTTTTTCTTAACTCAAAGTTCTAGAACTGATAAACATACTTTTTATAGGAATTCAAAGGATTACAGATAATGTAGATATTCTACTTCATATCCCAAATAATACCCTTGATAAAGTATAATCATTTAAATGCTTCGGTTCATTTGCCATCTCAAAGTGTAATAGGGAATTAAATGTTTGTCTTAATCCATTCAATGCACTCTGGGATCAGTCCATTCAAAAGCACAATGAATAAATGGACTGATAAATCATTTAATTGTGTGACAGTAAGTTTATAATTTAAAATGCTTATTACTTTTCCTTGTGATTATTAAACAAAGCCAGATATCTTTGCTTTTGACTCTGTCTTTTGCATTTTCCCTATTGTTCCAGTAAATTATTTTCTGAAAACTGAATTCAGTCAAACTATTACAAAATATTCATCAGTACAAATGACTTCATCCCTTGAGGCTGCTATATGCATACTTTTTAGTGTGATGACACCCACATACTCAAAAAGCAATACAATAATACAACTTCTCTCATTCAATCCATTCACGCAGTAATACGGTACATGGTAAAAAATTGTTTCAGAAGCAAAAAAAATTTAATGGAATTAATTTAATATTAAATTATTTTGATATAAAAATATGGCTTAAAAGGACTTTTAAAAATGGCAAGGATGGGACGGCATTCATAATAATCTTACTTACCAAAAATACAAAATTCTAAAGTTTTAAAAGACAAAATGTAGAAGGAGAATGGTCATCTAACTGAGTGCATTGTCCTAGTATATATTTTATAGTATATAATTGCACAAAGCACTGCTCCCAGAAAGAATATTTGGAAGAGTCAGATGGTTGGAGAAAACTACTGCAAAGAACAACAGGTACTACTGAATAAGAGATCAGCAAAACTACATATTAAGAGTCAATGCTGCTAAGTAAAATTTGAGAGGGCCTATTCTAACATAATGTATCACAATGATCTCACTGAGACCAGTAAATAGTACCAAAAAGACATTAACTGTGATTCCTCTTTAGCTTGGACTTTCAATTTCATATTCATTTGAACACACTGAGTGAGGTAATATAATTTGAGGTATCATATGCTGATAACATCAGTTCAGACTGTAAGGGAGATGATGTCAATGTCCAGTTCTAATGTTCGGAATCTATAAGTGTCTGAATGGGAGATGCAGACCAAGCTAAACCCTAATAAAATGGAGTTACTATTTATATCCCGGGATTTTCTATCAATTCCCGTTCTAAAGGGGCAGGCATGCTTTTTGAAAGAGCAGGTTTGTCTAGAGCAAACAACTCCAGCTGGAGAAAACAGTAAATGAAAGCTATGGCTAGGGGACCTTTGCCCAGATTCATCTGTTGATCAATTATTCCCCAATAGCAGGCATGACAAACTGCTGGCCCGTGGGCCGGATGCGTCACGCTAAAACTGCGCCCATCCCATTGCCGACAATGGGGAAAAAGTCGCACGACATCACAAATTTGACATGCCTGCCCTATAGGTAGTCCTCCCATAACAATTGGGACTGGCAACTCTGTCGCTAAGCAACAAGATTGCTAAGTAGACAACAGGTGATTGAGACAGATTTACAACCTCACTTCTGCTACAATCATTAAGCAAGACATCATATGATTGTGACTTGTGACCAGCTTCTCTACTGACTGTTTATCAGAAGCTGGTACTGAAACACACAAATGGGGATTACGTAACATAAACACCTGCCAATTAATTGCAAAGTGCCTAAATCTCAATTACATGACCACAGGGATGCTGCAACTGTTAAATATGAGGACTGGTTATAATTTTTTCAGCGTCACTGCAACTTCAAATAGTCCTAAGCAGTTGTTAAGTGACAGTAGCTGTATCTGATGCAGGCAGACCTAGGTACAATGATTCATGTCCCATTAGCACCCAATTGGATTACTGCAATTGGAGTACTTTGAATAGGGCTGCCTTTGAAGGGAACATATAACACCAATTCTACGGGCCATGCAGTGGTCACTGATAAGTTTGTGAGTATAATTTAAGGTTCTTGCATTAACCTATAAAATCCTTCATGGATGTCTACAGGATTGCCTTTACCCAATCACATCAGCCCAACCTGTCATATCTTCTGTGAACAGCCACTTGTGATTCTACACTTCTAGTGGGTAAGGAGAGTCAAGAGTAGATGGTGCAGCCATGGAATAATTTCCCACTAGTGATCAGACTGGCCTTCTTCCCTATGGACCTTTAGAAGGTTATTAAAAATAGAATTATTCTGGAGAACATATTTGTGATCTAGTTCATATTCCTCTGTGCAAATAATTCTATGCTAAAGTACTCTAAAGACTGTCCATCTTAAAAGGCTATTTGAATACCTTCAGCAAAAGACAGCCCATTCATCTAATTAATTGATTCCATCACTTACTGTCTTACGGCACTGAATTTCTCCTAACATTCAATCCAAATTTATTCTTTTGTAAACCCTATAGATCTAGGTCTTGTCTGCTCAAGGAGCAAAGAACAAACTTTTATCCTATTCTGTATGACAGGAATTCTGCCTTCTCTTTCTCAGGCTGCTCATATTCCATTAAAAAAACTAAGTAACTAGTATGCTGATGACTGTCACTGTAATTCTCTTCAGATCAATTTCTTTACATTCTATTTAAAGTCTAGATCTGGCAGAGACCTAGGTATAGAGCAGGAGTCCCCCAACCCCCAGGCATGCCAGCAACCGGTCCACACAAACAAGCAAAGCCCCATCCATGGGATGCAGGTAGCACACAAAACCACACACTCTCTGGTCTGTGGCAAAATCTTTCTCCACAGAACTGGTTCCTGGTGCCCAAAAGGTTGGTGACCTCTGGTATAGAGAATTACATTAGGAAACCAGTTCCTTGTGAGCTGGTTAATTTATCTAACCACGTAAATTTAAAATGTACAGTTTTAGACAAGTATGCTCACTATTTTACCATTATGTTTTATAACATTATCTTAACATAAGGAATTGGAATTCCATATGGAAATGGAATTATCTCCATTTCTTTAAGCAATTTTGGGGAAAAGTAGAGTGTATTAGCTTTTTAATGCCTCATGTGACTCCTATCTCAAGATTAAAAAAAATGCCCCCAGTTGACCCTTTAACTGTGAGAACAACACTTTAGTGTTTAATTACATGGTGGAAGATGCACAGACCATCACTCAAATTGATGATATTTCAGGTTATATATAACTGCCCAGAGTTACTCTGTGGTAAGATGAGCCGCCAATAAATTGTATAAATAGATAAACTGCAGTACTCATTCCAATACTATACCTATTGCACCAGGGTATTTTCATGAAATATGTGCTTTTTCCATCTTCTTAGGTAAGAAGAATACTCCAAGAACATATAGAATAAAATTTGTGTTTATTTAAGCAAAACTATAAAAAACAAAATCTATTTCCATATGCTGTTTTTGTTCCTAAGTAATTCTGAAATTTTCAGTATGAAAAATAATCTTAAACTGGCTAAAATATGCCTAAGAAAGGCAAGGATTTCCCATTGTACTTTTTCTACCCAAGGTAAGACCTTCGCCATTCCATCCTACAAAATCAGGGTAATTTGTATACAGAGTATACAATTTGTTTGATCCTAACTTTGAAACACCACTATCTCCCATCCATTTAAAACACAAAGGTTGCCTCCTCCAGTCTCAATTGTTCTAGGCAGCCTTTTAATAAACTGAGATTCTGAAGTTCAAAGTACTTTTAAAAAGTAGTTTCTCTCATGAGTTAATAGCTAGAAGGACCTAACAAAGCAATTTCACCAATAAGCACTTGGAGTTGGGAAATAATCCAAGGCTACTCAAAGTTTTGAACCCATAGGTTGAAAACCAGCAACTCTTTCAACTATCTTTTTCTGATTAGAAAACTGTTTTCTGACTCAGCTATATACTCAATACTTGACACAAATTAAAATCTGTGCAGATTGGTTTGGTCACCATAAATAAAAAGCAATATACAATGAATCCTTCTAATATGCTGGCTTCTGTCTTTCTATTGAATAATACATTCCATTCTGCTCCTTCCCCTCCACTAATCATACAGATTTTGGTTCAATGGAGATTGTAAGAGAAACAGAAAATAAAAACGTTGTTCTATCACAAATGCTTTGCCAACTCTTGTCCAAGGGGTTTCATTTAACCTGTAGCACTCTTTACCCATATTCCCTAAATAAACTGAAGTTATTTTAATCCTTTTTTCTTCTCCGATTTCTACTTCATCACCTTCAATTCAGTAAAGCAACAAACTTAACAGGAAGTTGGACCTTGGAGCAGTCTTTTTCATCTTTGTTACTTTTGGGTTGTTGTTTTTTTTTTAATTCAGTGCCGAGTACACGATACAAATCAGGAGACAAGGCATGGCTGTAAATGAATTATAATTTAGAACAAGGGTGTGGCTCTTTGCAGCCCCAATGAAAAAACAAACAAACAAGGAGGGATGCACTAATAGTCCTGCCCAAGGCACTATGAGACCGACGAACAGAACCAGCCTTTGAAGACCCTTGGTTAATTGCTGGGAGAACGTGTGATTGACAGCAGACACACCTCGACGGAGCCAAATTGCTTTACTATTGCAACGCTCTCTACATGGGGCTCCCCTTGAGGTGCACCCGGAGGCTCCAGCTAGTTCAGAATGCGGCTGCGCGGGGGATTTTGGGGGCCTCTAGATGCTCCCATGTAACACCTCTCCTGCGCGAGCTGCACTGGCTGCCGGTGGCCTTCCGGGTGCGCTTCAAGGTGTTAGTAACAACCTTTAAAGCGCTCCGTGGCAATGGACCTAGGTATTTGCAAGACCGCCTCCTACCAAACACCTCCCTTCGACCAGTCCGCTCCCACAGAGAGGGCCTCCTTAGAGTGCCGTTGGCCAGACAATGCCGGCTGGCGACCCCCAGGGGGAGAGCCTTCTCTGTGGCAGCTCCTGCTCTCTGGAATGACCTACCCCCCCAACCTACGTACAGTTGCGGACCTGCGCCTTTTTCGCCGAGCCCTGAAGGCCCATCTATTCCGTGCGGCCGGCCTGGCGTAGTTTGGATTGTGTTTCAGTGGGGTGTTTTTTTTTGTATGGGTGTGTTTTTAGAACAGGCCTGTTATTTAATTCGATTTTAAAACAGAAACTATTTATTTATTATCGTGGTTTTTAGTATCGCCTGTTCACCGCCCTGAGTCCCGCAAGGGAGATAGGGCGGTATATAAATTTAATAAATAAATAAATAAAATAAAGGAAGGAGGTGGGCGTGGACCGGCCGTCTCCCTGGAACCAATGCGACCACCTTTCAGGCCGCCTCTTCCCGGGGCTTATTCTGGATGAGCCGCCCCCCCCCACCAAGTGAAATCCCTGCCAACATCCAGCCCCGCAAGTGACGTCATCCAAGACCCTCTCGGGCCCGAGAAAAGCGGTGTGGGCACACCGGGAAGGCCTCACCCACCCACGCGCCCGTGCGGAAGCGCTGGGCGCCTTCAGGCAAACTCGAGTCCCACCGAGGCCTTCTACGAGGGGAAAACACCGCCCGGAGTGGAGGTGGGCAGGGCGCGAGAGACAACAACCCCCCCCTTCCCCAGAGTAAAAGGGACAAACTATCCGCAGCCTCGGGCCTTCAAAGGCTCGCTGCTCATCTGCTGCCTTCCCAGCCCGGCTTCTCCCACTGTACCTTGCCCACGTACTCTTTCACCTCGTCCAGGTCGCCATTCTTGAGGGCCCACATGAACTCCTTGTCGGACATAGCGGCGGCCGCCCTGACCCGGACTCGGCGCGAAAGGCCACGGTACCGCTCGAGCGAAGGGGCGGGGCGGGGCTGCAGCGGAAAGGGCGGCGGAGGCGGAACCGACGGTTAGGCGGCTGTCTCTCGTGGAGGGGCGAGGGCGACGGTTACGCCTCCCAATAACTGGCACTCTGGGCACGAGGGAGTCCGGAAAAAGGGAAATGCGACTAACGTGAAGGTGGAGGGGCGGGTGTAATTAAACCGCTTGGTCTTGCCACACACCGCTTCCGCTTCCGCTCACCATTCGTTTTTTTTCACCCACACCCTAGGTGAGGCTAGGCTAGGCAAGTGCGCATGCTCCGAAAACTCGTTTGTCGTTCGCGGCTTGACTCTAGAGCCAACGGCTTCCGTAGCCTGCGCGGGGCGGAGCGGCCGAGTCGCTTAGGGGAAACCGGAACTAGTGCTTGAATAAGTTGAAAGAAGCGGTTGCTTAGGAAACGTAGTTGGGCATGCGTGGATGCCCTAGTTCAGGGGTAGGCAACCTTGGCTCTTTTATGACTTGTGGACTTCAACTCCCAGAATTCCTGAGCCAGCTTGGCTGGCTCAGGAATTCTGGGAATTGAAGTCCACGAGTCATAAAAGAGCCAAGGTTGCCTACCCCTGCCCTAGTTCGTCTATGGGACGAAGAATGTGAGGTTGAGTTGATAGCTTGGCGGTTATGGAGTGTGGCAAAACCTTACATCCCGCAGCAATCGCTTACAATCGCTTACATCGCTTACAATCTTACATCGCTTACAATCTGGATTCTAAGGGGGCATAAACATCTACAACGATGTTTTTCAAATTCAGCATTTTTAGGATCTATGGACTTCCGACTCCCATAATTCCCCAGCCAGCATGAGGAGCTGGGAATTAAAGTCCATGCATCTTAAAAGTTTCGGAGGTTTATATTGCAAATTGGCAGATGTATAAACAAGGGAGAAATTAGAAGCCCAGTAGTCTTTTTTCAAGATTTGCTTTGCTTATCTAGTTTTTATTAACATGTTAAAAAAATAATTTGCAATGTAGCAGAGACCTTAGCATTAAGTTATCTGCTCAAAACTAAAATCTTTGTCGTATAACAAATACTTTGATGCAATATGCAGCAGAATTTTTTTACTTAAGTTATATTCAGTTCTGGATGAAAAAGTCAATCTCATGCTCATATCCTGAACTGTAATATTGATAGAATACTTCTTTCTCTGGGCTTTATTTCCAATACAAACTTACCAGACTTGGGTCCAGAATTTCCGTTATTAAGCAAGGTGGTTGTTAAGTGAGTCACACCCAATTTTATGACCTTTTTTTGTCATAGGTAAGTGAATCACTGCAGCTGTTGAGAGAATAAGTTGACTGTTAAGCAAAACTGGCTTCCTCCGTTGACTTTGCTTGTTGGAAGATGGCTGAAAAATTGTAAATGGTGATCATGTGACCCTAGGACACTGCAACCAGTGTAAATACATTCTGGTTGCCAAGAGTCAAAATTCTGATTACATGATTCCAAATTCTGTTGGAATGCTGTAATGGTTGTGTGAGGACCAGTCATAAGTCACTTTTTTCAGTACCTTTGTAACTTTGAAAAGTCACTAAACAAATGATTGTAACTTAGATCATAGTTTAAGTTATCTAAAGAACAGAGTGTAAAGAAACTACCATTAATACTAAATAAATGAATTACAGCAGTGGCCTCCAACCTTTTGGGCATCAGGGACCAGTTCAGTGGAGAAAGGTTTTTCCGCAGACTAGAGTGGGTGTAGTTTGTGTGCTGTCTGTATCCCGCAAATGGGGCTTTGCTTGTTTGCGCGGACCAGTTGCTAGCATGCCGCGGACTGGTGTCAGTCTGCGGACCAGGGATTGGGGACCCCTAATTACAGTATACGGCAGGGGTGTCAAATTCACAACGTCACATGACGTGTCGTGACATATTGCAACTTTTTTTCCATTGCTGGCAATGGGATCGCCCCGGTTTTGCCATGACACATCTGGCCCATGGGCCGGCAGTTTGACACCTCTGGTATACGGTGTTAAAATTTATAACAGAAATTAAAAGCAAAATAAAAGAATACAAAGGACTCTAGCAAACCTTAGATCCACACTTTTACAAGTGGATTTCATAGATTTCAGAGGGTTTTTCCAATCTTCAATAACTTTAGATTTCAATCTTAATTGGACATTGAAAATACTTTATCCAATGTAGAAAGAAAAATCTTCATCAGGATCCAGTCTAATCTGGGAATAAACAAAATGGAGACTGCTTTAGAAAGAAGGTTGGAGTTTATTGAAGAGCAAAGTCAGACAGAAGCATGGCTCTGGGAAAACTGACCACATGTTGCTGGGAGTGGTGGGTTTTTATACCTTCTGGGTCTCTTGAGGTTGTTTCCTGTTCCTGTTTGAGGCTTTGTATTTCCTGTGTCATGTACTTTGACCTGAGTCTGAGTGCCCTTTTGGTATTGGTGGGTTAATCCTATTATATCCACAAAGGTCATGTCTTTTAGAGTTTGGGTGGGGTATATAGATTTTAGAGGTCTTTGTCTTCCTCATCTCATAGCTTCTAGCTTCCTGGCCCCAATCTTCCTGAATGGATCATTACATCTGCATTTCTAAAAGCTGGTTTCTGCTGAATTTTCTGGCTGGGGGGAGGGAGACATTTCTGCCTTTTAAAGATCTTCTCCATTATTCCTTTGGAGAAATATATTCTGCCTTTTTAATATTTCTCAAACTATTTCTTTCTCTGGATTCTTCCCACACCAGTTTTAATTTCACTGAAATCAGAAGGACTTATTTCTGAATAAAATCACATCATTCCTTTCTTTCTTCCAAGGGAAGCACTTGTACATTGTTCTATGAAAGTCCTACCCATTGATGTTGACATACTTTGTTCTCTTGATAGGTGTATATAGATTCCATCCTTAATTGGCTGGAAATGCAGACAAGTGATCAATATATTCTTTATAAAATCCTTTTTTAAGCTTTTGATGTAACAAGTTTCAATTAATTTAAATATGCGAAAGAAAATATTAATCCGATCTAGTTGTATCTGCAGGGTTACTTAGAACCAGGGCTTTTTTTCTCAGAACGCCCAGAATGGAGTTCTGGCACCTTTTTTGGATGGAACCTTGTAGGGTAGGCAAGGCGAGTTGTATGACGTGTATGAGTTGTGTTTTTTTTTTGTTTTTTTTTTAGAAAAAAAGCACTGCTTAGAACCACTGAAATTAGAAGGATGCCCATTGACTTTATTCTGGCATGTCACTAGGTCTTGTGCTTAAATTCATAAACTGAAGTGTTTGCTTTTGAGTAAATTTAGAGTAAACTTTTAACAAAGTTATTCTATAATTATGGAAATCTTATTAATGTCATGTTCAGGATTTTAGTCATGATACAATTTAAATGGAATGGCGTTTAGGATTGCAGCCTCAGTGTTTTATATGCACCTATTTAAGAATATACACAATTCATTTTTATATAAGCATTTTGGTTTTTCAGTAATGGAATGCCTGCTTATATAAACCTTCAAATTTTACTTTATTGGCTGTTTAATCTGCCTATCATTAAGAGAAACCAGGGCAGCATAAATCATACTGATTGCTGTTTTCCCTATAGCAAAAATCCTGTGTGGTAAGTTGGGCTGAGAGAAGTGACTGGTTTAAAGTTAGATAACTGGATTTAAACACTGGATTTAAGTCTGTGATTCCCTCACAGGCTAAATCTATTACACTACTTTAGCTCAAATATGCACTGAGGATGAATACTACTTATGTCTGTATGTCTCTTCATACATCTTCTGGATCATATATCGTAATAATAGAAACCATATGTTTTATGAATGAGGCATGGCACATGCTTGATAGAAAGAAGTGGCAATTTGAACTAGATTAAGTAGATTATCGTAAGGTATTAAAGCACCTGATTTTTCTTTTTACCAGTAGAAAATATTTCAGCATGGATCTCATTCAAGCAAAACATTTCTATTTGCTTACTGTCGGGATGATAAACACAAGTGCTCTATTTAGTGTTAAATGTAATCACTTTTATGTAAATACTACAAATTTATATATTTGAATGTAACCACATAATTAGAAGAAGATGCCATTAATGCTAAGTCTCGTTAATAAAAGATAACTGTGTGAAGAATCCTTGGGTTATTCCATTTATTTATTTATTTTATTTTATATTGCTAAACCTTGAAATGTAAGGAGTTATAAACATTTTTAAAAGAAAAACTCCTTGTTATTAAAATTAAAAATGCCCAAACTTGTTACATGAAGGGAAAAAACCCTCTCTTCTCTGAATAATTATGGATTTCACCAGGAAATTGAGAGATAAGTAATTTAATGTTTTCTCTTAGCTCTCACTCTGTTTGTGCGCTAAAATAAAACTTACAAAAATGAGGCATGACTTGGTAATAATAGTTATTGTAAAACTGGATTCTTACATCTTTTGTAATATGCCTGGGAGACTACTAGGAAATCTCTAGAATAGAGTAGAGTAGAGTAGAATAAGAATAGGATAGGATAGGATAGGATAGGATAGAATAGAATAGAATAGAATAGAAGGAAAAAGGATTCCAGAGGTAGGAAAATTTAAGATTCCTTCACACCATTTCAAATGAATGGATCCTTGGTAAGTTCCTCCTAAGTTTACATAATAGCTTTCTCCAGTTTGGGAAATGCTGGTTCCTATTTACTAACCTCAGCCTTTACAAGATACATTATGCACAACATACTCAGTTGAATGATCTCTTTCTCTAGTTAGTGTAATTCATCTTTGTGTGCAGCAAATAATCAAATATGATTAAATTGTTTGGGCAACATTTGTTTGTTGAACTCTGGAGGCATTTTTTTTAATTGCGTGTGTGACATTGGGTTATTAAAAGTGCAGAAAACCTAAAGGGCCATCTCACTTGCTGCCCTTTTTTTCTTCCACTGTGAAACTGCAAACAGAAGTGGGTGTCTGAAATAACCACAGAATAGCCCCATTTTTACTACTAGTTTAAGCTGTAAAATTCGGTGGACTCACACTATCAAGCAGAATGTTTGCATCATTTTACCCTG